GTCCAGCATAACCCACCTGTACTGTCAGCCGTCCTTAGAACATAAGTAAAGAACTCTTGGTGGTTTTGTGTGTTCAGTTTTTGATGATTACTTACTAACTTACTTGCATGTTTGATCATAGAGCTGATGGCACAGTAACCTGTGTGGTCTCTTGTGAGTGTCTTGGTAGAGACTGGGCATTACTGCTGGTATGGTGGTGACTTAGCCCTGGGCGTACTTAAGAAAGATTTTATTAATCTGATTTGTTTGGCGAAGTGCAGAAAAGTTTTTGATGGAGTTACACTATAACTTTACCCCCCCAAACAGGTTTATTCTTCTTATACAGGTTAAGCAGTCCATGGTAGGTTGTAAAAGGGAAAAGATGTCCTCTAACCATTTCTGAGATAGCTTATAAATTCATTCTGTGCCAGATGTGTTTTAGAGGAACATATTACTGAGTGAAAATGTTACTAGAAGTAAGACAGTCCAGTGAGCAGAGCTGGGTTCATGCTTTTTCTCTGCCTCTTCCTGCCCTGTCACCTTGGGCAAATGACTTCACATCTGAGCCTCATGTTCTTCCTCTATTTTTTTTAACATCTTTATTGGAGTATAATTGCTTTACAATGTTGTGTTAGTTTCTGCTGTATAACAAAGTGGATCAGCCATATGTATACATGTATCCCCATATCCCCTCCCTCTCCCACACCTCTAGGTGGTCACAAAGCACCGAGCTGATCTCCCTGTGCTATGCAGCTGCTTCCCACTAGCTATCTATTTTACATTTGGTAGTGTATATATGTCAATGCTACTGTCTCAGTTGTTCCAATTTACCCTTCCCCCTCCTCGTGTCCTCAAGTCCATTCTCTATGTCTGCGTCTTTATTCCTGTCCTGCCCCTAGGTTCATCAGAACCATTGCTCTTCCTCTTTAAAATGGGGATAATGATGCATACCTCATATGGGGTATTGCGAAGACTAATTGAGATAATGTGTTTAAGTTCCTTTTCAGTGCCTGGTACAAAGTAAAATGTTGTCATACTTTTTTATTTTTTTAAGGCTTGAAAAAATGAAAAATGACATTTATTTTATATGGAGCTGTAAATAAAGTTAGATTTTGCATAGAATACAGTATAGAAGTTAGATGTATGCTACTTATTTCATACAGTCACTCTGAGAATGTCAGTGCTAATAAGCAGTGTAACTTATTCATTTTATTTGAAGTATGTTCCTCTTTTTTTCAGAGAGAAACATACTTGAAAAAGTACCTATTACTTTTTTTTCTTGAAAATAGCTTTTTATCAGAAGGAAAAGTAGCTTATCTTAGTGATTCTCAGCTGAGGTGGGGAGGTGGGGTCTTATCAGAATCTGTGCAGAGGAGAGGGGAGACACACAGTCCTCAAAACTAATTTTATGTCTTCAAAAATTATTATCTTTAAGACTAATTCTTCTGATGGATGCCCCACCCCCATTTCTGAGCTGAGGCGGCTTCCCTGAATACTTAAAGAGTAAAGGAAGGGCTGCTGGGAGGAAATAATTGTAATATCTTATTTTAGATACAAAAGGGGCTTGAAAAACAAAGCCTGCTGGTACCTAGTGATTACAAATAACGTTGAGTTCTGTCTTCTGCTTTCCTTTCCTTCCTTCAGGACTGTGTTTCCTCCAGTTTACTCAGGGATGTGCACTGTATCTTCCTTTACTTTCAGTTGTTGTTGTTGTTGTTTGACATAGTGGAAGTGTTTAAGGTGTTCTTTTTTCCCTTTCACACCCAGTCCTGTTTCCTAGTAGGTGGCCCTTCTTTACAGGAAAAGAGGAATTCACTTTCCCTCTGTGGCAAGTTAGTTTTCAGAGAATAGGAGCCATTATAGAAAACTTGTTCTTTTGGTTCCGAGAATAAAATTGATTCATACTCAGTAAATGTTGATTAATTTTTTTTATGAATTAAAATCAGTAAAAGTATGTGTAAGGGTCTGGAATTTTATTTTATCCTATTTAGAAGCTAACAGCCTGCTGCAGTTCGTGGTTGCTGGCAGAGCACAGGGCTCCTGGGTCAGAGACAAAGGACTTTATTACTCATGGCCTAGCAAGCAGCATAAACACAGGTTTGCACTAGTTCCCCTTGCCCCCACAGGTCCCACGGGCGTGGTATGAACAGGCCCCGCTGGATGCCTGTACATGTGTTGTAGGAGTGGAACATTGAGCTTGGGGAATCCATTGCTTTTATAGTTACGTGGTACACAAGCCTGCTCTTTGCCCTGGAGGGGGACGTTACTTCATCCCTCAAAACGCTTTGCAAACAGAATCCTGAGAAGTGGCCTGGGTAAGGAGCCGTCAGGGTCATGTGTTTTGTGTTTTTCTTACCCACCAAGACATGTAGGAGTGTGAGAGACCCATGGGAGGAGTAGCTCTCTCAACAGGAAGTTTATACAGTAGGTCATTGATAGAAATCTTAGGTAGATTTATTGTGAAATACTTGCCATACTGAAAGGTATAGAGAGTGATATAATGAATAGCCATACAGTCACCTCCCAACTTGAGAAAGAAGCATTGTCCATACAGGTGACACTTGCTGTGTCTCCTCCTCTTGTCCCACGAGTAAGCATTTCCCTGAATTTGTTGTTATCATGCCAGTGCATTTCTGTGTATCTGTTAATATCATACAGTACTGTGTTTATAAACTTCTAAAAAATTTTTTACTATCATTTAAAAAATTGTTACAGAGCCCTTTTACATAGTATTGGGTTGGCCAAACAGTTTGTTCGGGTTTTCCATAACACTTTACTGAAAAACCCGAATGAACTTTTTGGCCAACCGTATACCATGTTAGTCACTGTAGGGGAAAATTGTAAAGATAAAACTCTTGCCCGTCATGATGTTATGGTCCAAGGAAAACCACAAACACTGAAAACATAGCTTAGTAAAAGGAAAGGATATGTGTGAAAAAAAAGTTGGTAAACAACATATAACTCTAAAGTCAGCTATTAGCATCTAATATATGTAGGGGCTAAGTATAGTTACGGATGGAAGGAGAAATGGAATTCATTATTGGGGTAGAAAATAGTGGCTATGTGAGGCAACAACAGTGAGAACTTATATGGGTGAGATTCATCTAGACAACTTGTCATACAGGAGAGAGGGTTACGCTGTGAGGCAATGGCCTTAAGTTGATCCAGCTAGAAAGATGAGAAAAGGGAGCTGGGAGTAGTCAGTCAACAGGGCAGTTAGCTACGAGGTATGTAGGCCCAGCATTCTGTCAGGGAACCATTTTATTAGGAGGGATGGCTAAGACTAAGCCCCTGATCAAAGGGCTCAACATCTAATTGTGCAGCAGTAGTTACACATGGGAAAATTAGAGAACACCCTAAGACCCTCTCTGATTATGACCTAAATGTGTGTTACAGGTTCCAGGGATGTAGAAGGTACGAGTTTAATGTGAGTTCAAGCAGTTAGGGAAAGAAAGCCTCAGTGAGAAGTCTGGAGTTGGGCCTTGAATGGCAAATTGTGATAAGGGTGCTCCAGGAAAAGGAGTGGGTGGCAAGAGCACATGAGCAAAGACGAGACAGTGACTGGAAAAGGGAGAGGATGGGCCTGTGTGCATTGTTTATGTCCAGGCCCCTTGACCTGTAGAGTTTCCCATGGCCTGGATTTTGCTGATTGCACACTTATGGTGCAGTTCAGCAGTTTTTCTCTGTATTTCCTGCAAATTAGCAGCTGGACCCAGTAGCATGATGAGATTCAGGTTCAGTCCCTTTGGCAAGTCTGTAAGTGGTTGTGTGTTCTTTTGTCACATCAGTAAAGGTAGGTGTAAGGGTCTGGGGTTTCACTTTACCCTACTTAACAAGCCAGTAATTAATCTGCTACTGTTTTATATTCTAACCTCATAGAGCTCCCTCTTCTGCTGTTTCAAATAGTGTTTAAAATTATAGTGGCTTGCTTTCTGAGATATCCTGGTCTGTTACCCCCCGACATCCCCGCCCCACTTTTATTTGGACCATCTCTTTTCTTCATTTCTGTCTTGTTCAGTTTGGATTCCTCTCCTAGCAGTACCCTGTCCTAGGAAGGAGCCTTGGTTAGTTCCATGAGTTTATAGGGGTAGGTTGCTTCAGCTCCTTTGGGCCCCTTGCCCCAAATCCCTCCAGTTTCAGTTGCTATTCTCAAATTGGCCCACATTGCTTTTCGCTGAGTACTTGGTTATCTTGGGGTTCTTCTGTTCTCTGATCTGTCTGATGCCCTATTGTTTTCCTCTGTGTTGATCTGCACAGCTGCTTATAGCACTCATGTCTTGTGGCTGTTAATGTTTTTTCCCTGCCTGCTTGTGTATGAGGGTTTATGAGGATGCTTTATCTTCTAATTTTGTTTTAAATGTTATCCATGGATTGTTTAGTTGCTATCTAGTTCTGGTTTTATATGGAGATTCAGATATATCAAAAGGCTCTATTGCCACTGCTATAGCCATTTCTCCAGAATTCCCATTGTAGGTTCTTGAGTAGAAAGATGACACAGTCGAGACAGGATGAAATGTCTCACCTAACATCTTTTTTTAAAATAATTAATTAATTAATTAATTATTGGCTGCATTGGGTCTTCGTTGCTCTGCACGGGGTTTCTCTAGTTGAGGCAGGTGGGGGCTACTCTTCATTGCAGTGAGCGGGCTTCTCATTGCGGTGGCTTCTCTTGTTGCGGAGCACGGGCTCTAGGTGCACGGGCTTCAGTAGTTGTGGCTTGTGGGCTCTAGAGCGCAGGCTCAGTAGTTGTGGTGCATGGGCTTAGTTGCTCCGTGCCATGTGGGATCTTCGCGGACCAGGGCTCAAACCCGTGTCCCCTGCATTGGCAGGTGGATTCTTAACCACTGTGCCACCAGGGAAGTCCTCACCTAACATCTTACATGGCATAGAGACAGTGTGGCCATTAGTCCCCATTTGTTCTTTAACTTTCTCTTTTCTCTAAATTGAGACGAGTTATTTGCTATAATGCCCATGTGCAGATTTCTGTGGAAATAATAGCTTCTTATCATCACTCTTTTCAGGTTCACTAAGAATCTTTCCCCGGACAAAATCAATTTGAGCACCCTGAAAGGGGAGGGTCAGCTGACCAACCTGGAGCTGGATGAAGAGGTTCTACAGAATGTGCTGGAGCTTCCCACCTGGTTAGCCATCACTCGGGTCTACTGCAACAGGGCCTCAATCCGGGTGAGAATGGGGGTCAGAGTGCTGCTACTCTGTTTGGCCAGCAGGCCTACCTTCTTGAGGGGTGACTCCCACAGCCCTGAGTCTTTGTTTTCCTCTTTCAGATCCAGTGGACAAAGTTGAAGACACACCCAATTTGCTTGGTAATGGCCTTTCTTGATTGCAAGTAATCAAATGGGGGTGGCTGGGGTAAGGTTTTAGAAGATCTGAGAGAAGATGGGGAGGAGCCCTGATGGGCTGTCCCTTTTGGGAGTGTGGGTTCTTCTGTCTGGCTTGCGAGCTTCTCTGTGAGACAGAGTGACTATTGTCTGGGCTTTTTCTGGAACTGCTGTGCAACATAGCAGTTAGCACTGAGACACAAGACCCTGGAGTCCTGAGTTGGTTTTGTTTTGTTTTGATTTTCGTTTTTATTTTAAAACAAGTTTTGCTGCCCAGGTTCTACCTTTACATTTCCTTTGGACTCCTGACAGAGGAAAAATTAGAAGTTTAGTTCTTGTTGACTGTTGGGTGATTATCAGCTGAAAGCCCTCCAGGAACTGATTGATACATATCTTTACCCCAAAGACTGGAGTCCCCAGGAATAGTAATATCTCGGTAACTTGGATATATGTTTTCTTTTTCTGCTGTGAGCTAATCCCATGCTTGTCATGGAGTTCTGCTGCTAATGGAAATAGAAGGGGGAAGATGAGGGCTCTCTTTGTATTTCAGTTTGTTCATTCATTCATTGGACAGACATTTATTATCTGCCTACTGTGGGCACAGCCCTCGAATAGGTATTGGAGCACAGAGATGGATAAGACACAGTGTGTGCTGTGTGGGATTTTGTGCAGATGCTTAGCTCTCTGTGGCTTTTATTTCAGTGTCTGGATAAGGTAGAGGTGGAGATGAAGACATGTGAAGAGCCTCGGCCCCCCAATGGACAGTCTCCTATTGCCCTCGCTTCAGGGCAGAGGTTAGTTGCTTTGGGTCCTATTATTTCCAACATATTAACTGGTTTGGATCACCTTTTAATTAAAAAATAAAAACTTTATTATGGAAAATTTCAAGCATGCACTAAAATAGAGAGAATAGTGTACTGAACCCCCATGCATTGAAGATCTAACTTTCACAATTCTCAGCATTTTACCATTCTTTTTCTACCTTTCTTCTGCCACTTTGTGTGTGTGTATGTGTGTGTGTTCACATACTCTGTAGTTCTTATTTATTTATTTATTTAGTTTTGGCTGTGTTGGGTCTTCATTGCTGCACGCGGGCTTTCTCTAGTTGCGGCCAGCGGGGGCTACTCTTCGTTGCGGAGTGTGGGCTTCTTATTGTGGTGGCTTCTCTTGTTGCAGAGCAGGGGCTCTAGGTGTGAAGGCTTCCATAGGTGTGGCATGCGGGCTCTGGAGCGCAGGCTCAGTAGTTGTGGTGCACGGGCTTTGTTGCTCTGCGGCATGTGGGATCTTCCTGGACCAGGGCTTGAACCCATGTTCCTTGCGTTGGCAGGAGGATTCTCAACGACTGCGCCACCAGGGAAGCCCCACTCTGTAGTTCTTGAAAGCAAATCCCAGGTGCCATATGATTCCACCTGTAAATACTTCTGTATTGTGTGTCTTTAACAGACAGGATTGAGAAAAAAGAAAAACCCCCACAGTACTATGATCACAATTAATAGAATTAATAGGGATTCCTTAATATCATCTAATACTTATTGCATATTCAGTTTTCCTGAATTGTCTCTGAAATATTTTTTTACAATTCAGTGTGGCTCCACAGAGCTCCACACCTTATATTTGGGGATATGCCTTTTAAAGCTCTTTAACTCTGAACAGTCCCCCATCCCTAC